TTACATAAAGCGCATTTCCACTTGCATTCATTTCCCATTTGTAAGACGCAACTTCTGTTATAATCGTAAAAATCCGGCCACAAATATGAAAGATAGCGTTGCACATGGGCAATCCATTTTTGTCGTGCTACTTCAATGTCAGTTTATGAGAAGAATTTCATTTCAATGCTTTTCTAAATAAGAAAGTTGGAACTACGCATGCGCAAACCTAAATTTTAAAGCTAATGTTAGATTTTCCTTTGTTCCAAGCGCCTAAGTATCAAATTTCACTTAAATGGTTCCATAGATAAAAAAGTTGGCACTGCGCATGCGCAAAATAAAATTTTGAAACTACCGCTAGATTTTCCTTTATTCCAAGTGCATACATATATCACATTTCATTTAAATTCTTCCATAAATAAAAAAGTTGGCACTGCGCATGCGCAAAGCCAAATTTTGAAACTGGCGTTTGATTTTCCTTTATCCTAAGTGCCTATGTATCAAATTTCATTCAAATACTTTTATAAGTAAAAAAGTTTGCAATTCGGTTTATAAATGGTCGAGATGCGAAAAGGGCACTGTGAATTTTAAATCGATTCGATTCAACTTTTGGCATTGCGTATTATATGGCTAAAGCTATGCCCATATTGAATTTCATGCAATTCAGTTCATAACTAACGGAGATGTAAAAGCGATCGAACATTTCTAAACAAGGTTATCGTTCACACGGACAGATAGATGGACAGACAGACAAAGGAACAGACGGACAGACCAACCGGCAGGCGACAGATAGCAATGCAAAATTATAAACGATCTCTAGGATCGTTAATAAACGGCAAAAGTGTAAAATTATGGAACATGTAAAAAACGGCTTTTTGTTTTTTTTACAATAACTTTTTTTGTAAGCGGTACAGAAAAAATTCCTTCCTTGGTACAAGACTCGACACCATAACGAACCAAATAGCGAAAAAAGTAGAAGAATAGCTCTTAAGATAAAGAACTAGTAGCGTCGCAAAACGAGCGGACGGACGGACGGACAAAGTGGCCACAATAGCGCATTTTTTTTTATTTTTGTGGAAATGCGCTAAAAATAAGCAAATGCTTATACTTGCAAAATTCAAAGTAAATACTCGTAAGTGCTCCTTCGCACTGGGCGACTTAGCAGCGCTTCTAAGCAGAAGGACAGGGCCGTAGTGCAGCGCTGCTAAACCATGCTAAACAGACCAGTGTGAAGGGGCAGTTACGAGTATTTACTTTGAATTTTGCAAGTATAAGCATTTGCTTATTTTTATTCATACGGGCCATTATCTCAATGCCCAATACTATGCGCGAGACTATGCGATAAAAAATGAGTTGCTGTCGAGTCACCTTTGGAATTTTTGTTTAGATGGGAAATCGTACTTAACTTTAACTTCCAAACGAGCTTCCAAAGGCGACTTGACAGCCACTTATTTTTGATCGCCCGTTATATGAATTCGAGGCATTTGTGGCGATCACATGGATTTTGATCATTGATCGTTATTCATACACCAAGATCGTTGGGAAAAAGACTAAGAGGCATTACCTCAATGCCCATCACATGAATTTGATTCACTTTTGTTAACTATAATATTATGTATTTTGTAAGATTATAATAAATGGTCGTTAAAAAATGGATGCTAATACTGAGGATTCTTCGATATTTCGTTGCTCGTTGTATCCTTAATATTATGCATCTACACTTACGCTATAGTTGGGTGTTGTCACTATTGAGTTTATAAATTTTGTTATTATCCGTAGTATTAAAAGGTAGGTTTTACTCTCGGTTTTACTGTTTATTCGAGGGTTTATTGTGGCATTTAAATTCAAGAAAAAAACGTTAGGTATAAAAGTTGGATTTGCGCATGCGCAGACCAACTTGAATCAAAATGTATGAAGACAATATTGTTGTGAGACCTAACCTACACTTCTGGGAATCCCACGATTTACCTCTAGCTAGCTCAGTTGTAATTAAAAAAAACCAAATTTTTACACGCATCTCAAGGTCCAGCTGGATTCTGCCACCCTACAGCATTCCAACAATGACATAAATAGGTGGCTTAACCAAATCCTTAAATTCCAATATGAAACTTTACCCCCAGATTTAATCAACTTGAATCAAAGTAAGAGACGCCGACAATTACCTCTCCTTGACTCTAAATAACAAAACCTGGATTGCAATAACTGGTTTAATTTCAAACAAAAAAATTGCGTAAATTTCTGTTTTACAAATTGTTACAATTTTAAACAGATAAATGACACACAAAAAAAAAACAAATTACTCAAACATTACAAAAAAAACAAGACAAAACAAAACACTAACTACTACTTACTTTTAAAATTAGTCCGAGTAACGTACTCCGATAAAAAGAGGTATCCGTACACAAACACGCAAACCAAACACTCAAACACCGACGTCTTCTCTCTTCGGGTACCCACAAATTCAAAACTTCCGTGTTTCCGCAAAATAAAAAAAAAAAAAACAGGACGACGACAAACTTCTTAAACTTCTCAAAAATTCTTCTTAAAACGGCAGACACAAAATTCTAATTAAACCTGGATCCACTACGCAAAACTTCCACAAAATTCAAAAAAATAACGTAACCGAAGAAGCGCCGGTTGGCTTTGTCACGACCAAAAAGCCCCGCTCTCTTCAAAAATTTTCTATTTAAGCCAAAAGCCCTTCTCCTTTCTTCCACACCCCGTCCGCCAATCACGCGAAGCGTCGATTTTTCAACTTCTTGCTAAACGGCACGTACGCCCGGCAATTCTGCGAAGAACCTTATCTCTACTTCGCGCTATACCTCGTTAACGGCAAATAAAATTTAAAAAGAAATTTACATCGAAAAAAATTCTAGGAATAAAATAAAAACAGAACACTTCTAAGAAATTGAACCAAAACTATAACATGAAATTTACGCAATCCTGTGTCTCAAATTATTAATAACCCCCCCGGTTAATTAAATGAACTAAACAAAATTGTCACATCCAGACGCTCTATAATTTCTTTCAAGTTACAACTAAACAAAATAACACAACAATATTTAAAGCTCGATTTAAAGTTTCAATTCGTTAATTTAGTTTGAACAATGTTTGAAGACTTTGGTTATTCAGAAATGATCAAAATTCGATTTTTCATGTAGCAAACAAAAAACTATTGGACGAGCTATTGGACGAGTCATGAGATGTTAACATCCTTCCGAGTTTCTCTACTGGACAAGCTACTGGAGACATTTACAAAGTTAGGAATTTGTAAACTGTTTGACACCTTATCCTCAAAAATATAAATGTGACACTTACCGTAAAGGCTCGTAAGTACCGGTCTCGATACCGGTACATGCAGGGCGTTCATTTGAACCACGGATTTATAGAAAACCACGAGTCACGTCAAAAGATTTGTCAAGGAGGACAACTTTTTAACCAAAAACTACTTCACCCCCTTTTACCCTCTACCCCCAAGGGTCATTCCCTTAAACATTTTAAATGACAAGTGGTATCGAGTAATAGCTTGTTTAAAAGGTCTTTGGAAGTCCTTTATTTTGACGTTTGCTTTTTTTAAATCGGTCGATTCGTTTTTGAGAAAATTAGAATAATATTTATTTAATTTATTTAATCGGCCTATCTTAATTTGCTCAGATAGAAAACAAAAACAAACGAAAATATAACTTATTTGATGGTATGGCAAAGAAAGAATTTACTTAATTTTCTGTCAGTTGCCTTTGTAAGAATCTTGGGATAGTGAAAATTAATGTATTGATTCAGATTTTACTATCAAAATGGTTTACAGTTTACACACTAACCGAAAGAGTGGAAATATTCCAATTTGCTCGAACACGAATCCACTGATTTAAAAAAAATACGTCAAAATAAAGGACTTCGAAAGACCTTTCAAACAAGCTTATTACTCGATACCACTTATTGTCTTTTAAGGGAATGACCCTGGGGGGCATAAGGTGAAAAGGGGTGAAGTAGTTTTTGGTTAAAAAGTTGTCCCCTTTGACAAATCTTTTGACGTGTCTCTGTGTTTTTTCCTTTAATCCGAGCTTTAATCTGTAGTTTTTGATAAATCCGTGGTGGGAAGTGTTCAAATGAACACCCTGTATAGCTATATGTAGCTGATATGAAAATTGCGAAAACGAGTTTTCAATTGTTCAAAACATTACTGCATTGGTCTAATTTTTGCAGGTCCAAACCGGTCCAAACACTGTTTTGAATGAGAAACGGAGGAGGAATTTATTTATTTATCGATGGAAAACGCGGATATTCCTCAACAGACACATAATTTTTTATTATATCAGAGTTGTGCACTTTGGTAAAAGATGTTGAGATTTTTCAATGCTGGCACTGGCACAGAGGCTACTGGGATTTATATTGGATATATGAAAGTAGGTATATTTAAAAGTACAAAATGGCAAGCATTTCCCTTTTCCACCATACGCATTACTCGTATTCTTTCATTCAAAAACTAGCCCTCAGGCTGAAAGTGTATATTCATGAGAATATGTTGCAAGGTACGTACCTAACGAACAACCCCCGTATCGTGATAATGATAAGACAAACTCTTTGTAAACAAACAACTAATGCCCAAATCTGCAAGGTCTTATTCGTTTTACATATTGTTTGTTTACAAAAAGCCCTCCTCTCGCTCTCCCATATAAGGTCATTGACATTTGTATAAGGTGCACGGCTGAGTTAATTATGTACCTTACAATTAACTGGATATATTTATAACTAGGTAGTAGTCATACTCGGATTATGTGGAATATTGTCTTATTATTTACTCATGGGGATAATTATAACGAAGCATACACTTTTTTTTGTCTTTGTTATGATGAATCTATCCGAATGTAACTGAAAACCACAACCAATGGATGTGTTTACTTTGTTTGGTAAATTGGAGAAAATTGATAAAAAGTTACTAGGTTATGAACATGTGGAACAAAGGAAATCAAAGCTTGATCATTACGTTCAAGGAAACAAAGGGACAAAAGTAGGTTTCATACCTTCAGTAAATTTCTTTGTAGACCCATAATTATACGATCCCGATCCCAAAATGGGCTTCTTCCACCCTCTCCAATTGTTGCAAACGCTTTCTGGTTCGGAGCTCCAACTACATAAAGAATCCTCCTCGAAACGATCTGAATCCTCAAAACTAAAGCGGTCGACATCTTCCCAATCCAGCATCGCGGCCGCGACATCGCCACCCCCGTCACCCCCGGAAAGGTTACCAGTGCCCGCCACTTTCAAACAAAGAAAAAACCGTGGGGTAATAAAACCCTACCTTGACCCACAGCCTTTGGGTCACTCGCCTCTAATCGACACCTTCCAACCCCAAACTACCTCTCTACTAAATTTAGTAGATGAAATTTTCACCCTCTCAGTTCCTCATTATTGCCCTTATCTTTATGGACACATTTTAATTCATCACTTGCACTGACAACCGTTTACCTCCACACAAAAGCAAACACAAATGCACTTTTCCACCCGTGTCGCGGCCTCCCCCATCAACGACAACAACAAATATGGCGAGCGGATAGCAATCCACTGGACCTTGCGCGATTCTGACAGTTCCACAATGATTCATAAGCATTCCGATAGATGGACGACCAAGTGCAACCAACGCGCAGCTGTTTCCGTCCCAACCAATTACAAATTGCTACGTTGTCACTGTTAATAATTATACGTTCATTTACGCTACAGTTTATCACTTTAGGATATCATAATTTATAATTTAACTAATATGAATAATCCAGTTAAGTAACATGTGTATTTAATTTATTAATATTTATGATTAAACCTTCATTGTTTTACATCTTTGACATTTTCTTGGACAGCGTATAGTTTTTCAATTCACCTGAATCCTTAAAAAACCTCTAAACATTTCCTCATCCCAATCATTAATTACTTTTCAGCGCTCACATAACGTACAGGAGCAAAAGCGTCGTATTTTCTTTCCGGCGCTGACGATAGCATCAAGCAAATCGTGAATTTCGTAAACCCTGAGCTAAAACCACTTGTACCAAAATAACTAAATTAATTGAAAAGTTGCGAAAAAAAAACTAATAATCTAGTCTATAAAAACAAACTTTTAATATGATTATAACAGATAAACGTTTAAGTACAGGTAGTAATGGAAGCAACAGAAATTAACAAATAGGTACTTTATTTTTAGTAACAAATGCTTATTTTATATATAGAGATATCATTAGCAAATTCAAAATTGTCTTAGTTTCCAACGAAAGGAGAAGTGGTTGTTATGTAAAGAAGTAAGCTTTAGCACTGCCAATACCAAAAACATTGATTTCCATTTTTGACCAGCGTGAATGCATCTCAAGCAGCGATAAAACATTTTCGGTTTAGTCAAATGGTGACATATCAAATTTACAGAACATTAAAAAATCAGTAAAATTGGGAATAAAATTATTTAAAATACATATATGAATATAAAAATATTTTTGTGTGAAAGAACAGAGAATATAGATTTATCCCCCTATTTCCAGAAAACTATTAACATCAGTTTGGCATGCAATAATTAATTTAGTTCGTGGTGAAACACCTTATGTATGTTGTGCTTGTGCTTGAGAATTATTTTTATGTTTTTATTAAATTCTTAATGCTGCCTTTCTCCCATTCTAGAAAACAATATTATGGAGGTCGTTAGACCGTATTTTCGGAAGTAAATTGTTGGAATTTCAAACTGAGGGTTATGTCATTGTTATGTTTTGCAGTTCAATATCAGCCGGCATTTTAAAATTAAACATGAGCAGTTTTTATCTAAGGCAATGTACCAGATTAAAGATTTAAAAAAACATTGAATGGTATGGTACTCTTCTTCCTCTTACAAATTTTCCAATTTTTGTGAGCTGTAACCTCGATGTAATGCAACCGGCAACACTGTAATTCGTTATAGATCCCTTTATAGCTTCCTGCCGCAGTGTAGTAAACAGTAATTTTGTAGGTTACATTTAATTTTTTACCTTTTTCTTACCAATAAGTACGTGTTTTACTTTAATATTTGAAAAATTGCTTAAATAAATATGTTAACTGTGTATTAAAATAATTGTAATACGCAAGCGACGCACTTAAATTGCCGATGAATGTGGAATAATATCGTCTTGCACTAATGTCATATTCATGTGTGGTTTGCTTTTAGGCTACCAATGGCTCCAAGAAAAGGTAAAGTTCAGAAAGAGGAAGTCCAAGTTTCCCTTGGTCCTCAAGTGAGAGAAGGCGAAATTGTGTTCGGAGTGGCCCATATTTTCGCCAGCTTTAACGATACGTTTGTTCACGTAACCGATTTATCTGGTAGAGAAACAATCTCTCGTGTTACTGGAGGAATGAAGGTGAAAGCTGACAGAGATGAGGCTTCTCCGTACGCTGCTATGTTGGCTGCACAGGTAATTTTCTATCTCGAATTGATCTGTGTTTTAGTATGTACTTGTAGGATGTAGCGGAAAAATGTAAATCGTTAGGTATTACTGCATTGCACATCAAACTGCGAGCCACTGGTGGAAACAAAACTAAAACACCTGGACCAGGTGCTCAAAGTGCTTTGCGTGCGTTAGCTAGATCTAACATGAAAATTGGACGTATCGAAGATGTTACACCCATTCCATCAGATTCAACCCGTAGGAAGGGTGGCAGACGTGGTCGTAGATTGTAAACAATATTTTGTTTAAATTTAATGTAAGCATAACATCTGTCTTGATTTCAATATATTTGACCGAGGGTATTATGTTTTATTAATTATTTTCATTCATTGTTTTTAAACTGGAACAAAAGTTCAAATAAAACTGGCAGCATTAAGTGTGTAAGCAAATATCCCTGATTTGGCAATAAACATCTTTGACCAAGAATGTGCACAAATACTGCTTATCAAAAATCTGCCAAGGTAGAGAATGCCAATCTTTTCCAAGACCTCCATTGCAATTACATTGACCATACACTGGATTTCCTTTGTGCTTATATGTAGGTAGTAGGTGAATCGTGATACATGAGACATTAATAATAAGTGAAATTATTAATGTTCCAACTTCAACTGTTCATTTAAGACTTTGGCTCCGCTACTCCATGGTCCAACTATCTTGATGGAAACGTTCTCCTTGCTCTTGACTCAAATCAATGTTTTCAGAGAAACAGTTCAAATGACTGTAAAGGAAGTGCATCTTGATTCTCATTCGCTTCTTTTATCAGCCTTATTTACTGCCCATCAAAAATTCGGGCTTTCAGTTCCTCTGTATTCTTATTCAGAGCTTTGACAAATTGTTTCATGAGCCCTAATTTGTTTATGCAGGGATGGCAGTATTATGCAATCCCTATGGAATAGTGGTTACCCGAGGGGTAAACCACCTAGTTAATTCGGTGTACAAATAGTCGTTATAAATGCACGAAAATTAACTTTTAATGTAGTAAATGCAGTTAATGTCTAGTTAAATCAGTTAATGTAATTTAATGTGGTTAATGCCAAGTTAATGTAATTAATTTACATTGAATGCCATTGAATACTACTGTATAGGTACATTTTCATGGTTTAATATACCAATGTTGCGAGCAATGTTGAATATGATAAATAAAAGGGTTACTTGATTACTTCTTAGTAACGTACGGGATAAGATTGCAGATATTGCAGTTTATAACAAATTACTTATCTCTGTGTGGATCCAACACGACCTTTTTGCGCTCCTTTCTTTTATGTTCTTTTAATCTTGATTGTAACCATCGCATAATAAAATATGTTTAAATATCTGAGTGATATGCCGCCCTTAAATAGTGGAAAACACAAACTTCGAGTTTATTTTAAGACAAACTTATTGCTCTTACACGTACCTACTCTAGCTGTTAAAATAAAGAGAATTTTGAAAATAACAACGCTAAATAAACTCGTGTTTTCCACGATTTAAGGGACGATATATCAAAACTGGAGGATAAATTTAGGAGCAATTAGCATTTTATCATTTTTGTGGGTAGGTAACTAGATCGAAATGAAAATAAACGTGTAAGAAAATACAGCAAACGAGCTCCTGCGTATGGCTAATGGCGATAGCATGTGAAATACTACATTTTGAACCTGGTGTTAGATTTGCTTTTATTCCAAGTGCTAATATGTATCGTATTTCATTTAAATTAAGAACACAAGATGTTGTCTTCCCGAGATAGATTTATATTTCTGCTATGGTAGGTACCTATTCACAATTGTTGCAGATTAAGATGTACAAAAGCTGACATATGTTTCGGTCTGGTATGTCAACTTTTGTACATCTTAATCTGCAACAACTGTGAATACCATAGCAGAATTATCAAATCTATTTGGGGAAGACAACATCTTGTGTTCTTAATATTCCAACCCAAATCTAGATGACGGAATTCAGAAAGTTTCATTTAAATGTCCACATAAATATGAAACTGCGCATGAGCAACACTAAATTTTGCAGTTGGGGTAGATTTGCGTTTCTTCCAAGTGTTTATAAGTATCAAATTTCATTTAAATATTTTTATAAATAAAAAAGTTTACAATTCGCAATGCGAAAAGGGCACTGCGAATGTTGAATCGATTAGACCCAACTTTTGGCATTGCAAAGCTATGCCCATATTGAATTTCATATGCAATTCGGTTCATATAACTAATGCCTATAATGGAGATGTCAAAAGGGCCTTCCTTATTTTTACCTACATTGCCAATTCATGAACTCCAATCTACAAATATGATAAAGAATCTACCTGCAAAATTTCATCGTAATCGGCCGTCCATTCGTTTTCAAGATATCGTGCTAACGGATAGACACCGCAAAATTATAAACTCACTAGGAGCTCGTTAATAATTGAAAAATGTTTGTTATTTGAAGTATTTTGGCTATAGTGCATTAAGAACTTTTGTAGAGAATTTAATAAGGTATAATGTGATAATATACAGGGTGTTCGTGTTCCATATATGAAAAGTCACATTTTTGTTATCTCTGAAAAATGTGATGTTGTTTTGTTTAATTGCAGATTAGGATTAATTAGAAAAAAATCGTTAAGCCGCTTGTGACAAAGATGCAAAGAGTGCACTTTCAAATTTGTTTCTTCGATTTTAATAGCTCTTATGGGTATTTCATGCCGAGAATACAAACATGAAATAATTTTTAATTTCTGATCGAATGACGCCGAGTTTAGGAAAATTCGTCGCCAGTAATTCGTCGCCGACGATTCGTCGCGGGGAATATTCGTCGCTGGCAAATTCGTCCCCGATGAATTCGTCGCCAGGCTATATTCGTCACGGCGAGAATTGGATTGTTATTGACAGTACGTTTTCTTATTATTTTGTTTTATTTAAATTACTGGCAGGTGCTTTAAAATGTTGTTCACTATCATATCATCATATTAGGATTCAAAAACAAAAATATGAAATTAAGGTATTTTTAGTTCAATTTTTACTCAGTAATAGGTATATAAAATTGTGCGGTTTTATAACATACATTTTTATTGATAAAAAATAACTTGTATGGAGCTCGGAGGTAGTCCAGGATGTTGGTATCATCAAATTTCTCCACTACTTTTTGAAGCCTTAATGCCGCATCCCTGTATACTTTTTTTTTTTTTTAACAGTTTGCCCTGATAATAACTGCTCAATTTGTAACTCGTGAAGACTTTGCTCTCTTTTCAAACAGTCAATAAATTTCCAAATATTTGGGTGGTTGGCAGACACTTGATGCTCGAATGCATAATGCCATCCTTCTACGGCATTATTTGTTTTTGAGGCTCCTTGCAGAGCAGCTTCATAGCAATTCCAGATATTTATCGCAAATTGCGGTGGCTTCCGCTGCCTTCTAGTTGATGGTCGGCCAATCCACGTATCTTCAAAATAGTCTAATATACATTGGGCCTCGGGAGGTACAATTTGGCCATCGCAAAGCTCTTCAAATGATTCTATTACACATCCTGGTGGTACGAAGGCCAAGGCAGGAATCATCTTTAACTTCAGAGCAAAATCAGCATCAGTTTCATATTGCTGCTTCAATCCGTTGTTCTGGATACTCCGAAAAATACATTGGCAGAAGTGGAAGAAGCAACCTTGGATAGTCGGATTGGGAAACTGTCTTTGAAAACCGTTGATCAGGGCCTTCTCAAAGTCTATTGTAACCCTATGAGGACGGACATCCGGCTGCAGTTCCACTATCTGCTGCATAAATTTGGAATAGCACTCTGTAGATTTGCTTGGAAGTAATGCATAAATCAGTGGAATAGAAGCTTTCTCTTTCAAGCCATGCACTGTTAAAAGCTGATAAAATAGATGGGGTACGGTTTTGAAGGTGCCGTCCATTTGCCAATCATGTGATGAAGCCAGCAGTTGGAGGTTTCTTCTGGTAGTGAAGATGAGCATTCGGTCTTCGTTGGGACCAGAGTCGTACAAAAGAAAATCTTCTCCCGTTGACGTTTTTTGATAGTCATCCGGAATAACCAAGTCCTGGCGATTATGAACTGTCGCTGGACCATCATCATTGCGCTGGCGAATTTTGCGGATTGTTCGTTTCATGGCATCCACAGTAGGCAAATGGGGTGCCACAGACCGTGGGCACTCCTGAGAAACACTTGAAACGATGTATTGAGGGGTGTCTCTGCTGGAAGTGGCTGTAGGGATAGTTGTAAGTTATATTCATGTATGATAAGTTGCATAATGTATAAGGATGTAGGGGGAGAGGATTCCGTATTGAGTGACGGGACGGGTAGCACGTGTAATAAAGAGAACCTACAAAAGTTTGGAGAATATTTTAATTACAATTACAATTACATTACGTTATGTAATGTAACAGTGGCTACGTTTTTAATCTTGTTAATAAGTTTAATGGCATCTCGACGTACTGGGTCGCCAACGTGGTTGTGCTCATTGGTTCTGTTGAGCAATAGATAAAAGTATAATTATTAACACATATTAAAAAATTGTATGTGTCTTACCTCTTAATAATTTGGCCATCCGATGTTGTAACCCGTGCACTACATTTTAATGTATAGATTTTCTCGCATTTCCAGTGAGTCTTGTTGTCTCCACGGCCCTTTTCACTCTCCACAAATTGCAGTGCCATTTCTTTGCTTAGTATTGAAAAATACTTATTGGTAATTTTGTGGTTCAACTAGGCCAAGAAAACTGAAGCGAATGGAGTGTTCATTAAAATTTTGCCACATTTTATACTAATGGAGTCAATTACGAAAATTTCTAATAACTATTATAATGAGATAGCGATTCTCCACTAAATAAGCAAATTGCAAAGAATGCTAATGAGGCGATTAGAACAAAATCTAAAATTGCACAAACCACTGCAATAATGAGGCAATAATATGACAAATTCCTAAATACCAAGGGAAGCTAATGAAGCCATTAGAACGATAATAGTATGAAAATGTAAAATAATTAGCAAAGTAATCACCAGGAATTCACATCCAAAATGTCTCAAAACTTTCAACACAATTACTGGCCAACTTACACACACACCTACTACCGCACATTCCCTCTGTTTTAGAAAATATATGACTTCGTAATTGCAATTTCTATTTTTTTCTTTTTACACCATGTTCCAAAAACAAATTTATTCCGCAGTACATTTTCCCGGCGACGAATTTTTCAGCGACGAATTCATAGGCTACGAATTCTCGCCGCGCCGAATAAAGCCTGGCGACGAATTTATCGGGGACGAATTTGCCGGCGACGAATATTCCCCGCAACGAATCGTCGGCGACGAACTGTTGGCGGCGAATTACTGGCGACGAATTTTCCGGACATGGAATGACGCCAATACCAAGTCTGTAAGTGGTGTCGTTCCGGAGCCTTTGTGACACAGACAGACAGACATCAAGAGCGCAAAAGTGGATTTATTTTTTGAAGTGCACTAAAAATACACAATTTTAATAATTTTACCGTCTTTCTAACTCAACAACTAAGAAAGTTATCAATAGTGCCGACTTAATTTGAAACAGACTATACAGGGCGTTTCAAGAGGAATGGTACACACATAATAATAATAATGTATATGTACCATTCCTCATGAAACACCCTGTATGTATTTAATACAGACTGATTCAAATTCGAGGGCCACCATGGCGATCACGGGAACTGTAGAGATACGTAAGTAGTTTAAATTCGGCAAAGTTGCGTATTTTGAGGCTTAATAAAATGCAGTTTTAAAACTTAAAAAAATTCAGACTACATACTTTCGGAGATATCCTGAAAAAACTAAATTTTGCAAAATCATTTTTTATGTTTTACTGGTTATTTAAAAAAAATTTTCAGAATAAATAACACATTATTCTAGTCACTTTTTTCCCTCTACAAGATGCTAGTTTTAAATTTTAAATCGGACGTTTCGTCTTCGGTTAACCATCATCAATTTCGTTTTTTCTTATGGAAGTAATTTTTACTTTTTGTGTCATTTGATAGAGAATCTTTTTTGGATTTCAAGAATGTAAACATCACAATTTTTTAAATATTGTTATAATATCTTCTTTTTGTCTAGAAAACTTTGTCTTGGGTAGTGTACGTACGTAGTACGTAGTATTAACTTTGGTAACAACAAAAAGTGTGGTGTTATACAGATCATGCGTTAAATTTTGAATTAATGCCGTCTCGACTCTTGAGTGCAGTTAATGTTGTAAGTGTAGTTAATCATAAGTTAATGTGCGATTAATGCAATAAATGTTGAATTAATGCAGTTAATGCGGTTAATACAGTACCTACATAATTAATTTTAACAATGTAGTATGAGCTATTTTTGCATTTTCTATCTTACTTTGACATGTGGAAGAACATGCATATGTCTACACCACCAATAAATATATTATTATTAATGTTTAATTTGGTGTACACAATTTTCCGTAGTGGTGGTTTACCACTCGTGGTTATCTATCACATTCAGTCCCCCCGAACCATAGTTTACCTAGAAGATCAGTGTTTTCTAATGCAGTGCTCTAACGGGCGATCAAAAATGAGTGACTGTCGAGTCGCCTTTGGAGGTTCGAGCTAATTATGATTTCCCATATAAACAAAAATTCCAAATGACGCGACGGCAGTCATTTTTGATAGCTATGCAATCTCCCACAGACAAATAAACAAGGATACTTTGTAGTTTCCTTCTTGCGCGAGAAGAATATTCGCCATTTTTAAATCTACACATTTGAGCCACTTGTGTTGTACTTAATTTTCCCATATCAGCAGCTATAGGTAGCATATTCTTCAACTTTAGTTGAATGTGCAATTGATAATATGACATCACCCTGTATAGTTGATCGACAACTGCATTTTTAGAATAAAATTTCAATATAATCAGAGCTTTGTTAGAGGAAATCATTTTAATTACTGAATAATGGCAATGATTATAATTTATAAGCTTATACTTTGTTACACATACAAATTAATACAAACACCTGTAAGCTAGTAAAATAAATTACATATTATTAATTGATAAATAACTTATTACTTATTCACTTCCTACAATGCTACCTAATTTTAGAAAGACTTTAATCTTATGTTCGTATTTTTGTGGTTCCTTATTGTCGACAGTTGTGATTGTATTTACGTAAACATGTTGCATTATAAATCCGACAATAACTTCATCTCCAATTGCCAAATTGCATTCTGGTACAATTTTTAATCTAATCACAGCTTTGTTTGATTTCCTCCAAACGACCAGTCTGCAATTGGAATAATGTAGAAATGCACCAATTACTAAGATACACGTACTTCGGATCGTCTTGAATATTATGCGTGTCACCTGAATCATCATATTCTGCTGCATCATCACGTGGTGGTAAAACGAAAGTGCTATCAGGAAATTCAATGCTCGCTACAACTGGAACTGTAACAGGCCTAGGTTTAATTGTTATCGATGGTTGCCGTGAAAGTGACGAATGGATCAAACTACTGGGCTGACTGGTTAGTGAGACCGGCTGCTTCTAAACATAATGTTTGAAAAATGCTGCTTGATTTTAAAATATAGCATTACCTCATCGACTGGACTAATTTCAGATTTACACTCTTCCACAATGACATCATCCCCCACCTTGTACGGTAAAAGTGTAACAGTTGTTTGATGTTGAGTGGGATTGATAAATTTAATAAGTAATTCACTTACTTTCCCCGCCCTTAGTGGCTCAACAGTTATTAAACGCACCTCAGGAATATGATAGCTAAAGCAACGAAATCAAAAGTCATGTAAGTACGAGGCGTTTGACAAATCTTACTAGGCAAATAATTGTATTTTAAATTTAATGGAGTTCGGATTATATTCCGGTTTGCTGACATTGTGTTCACAGGATCGGCAACGTTGCGATCTTTTCACAGACAGATGCTTATGAATAGGAAACAGTTTATCCACAGTTGTTGGTTGTAGTTCTGGCTGCACTAACCTCTGCTCCATTGTAGTAACTTGAAATTAAATCAGTATAAATTACACAATAAAAAGAAAGCGCCCTTACCAAACGACAAATTCACAGGTTCTGTAAGCAGATATTCAGGAAACTGTTCAACATCCTCTTTTGCTATAGCTTTAGTTGGTTCTTTAACCTGGCATTTACGAAGCGGGTGTGGAACGTCAGGCAACCCCACTCGCTTTCTCAGCATTGAGGCAGTTATACCAGTCCTATCCTGCAACATAAAAAAATATGTGATGTGAGCAACGAAGTAAAAGAGGTTCTCGAAAGCGAAGCAGTAAATCACAATCCAAAAAATGCATATAGCTCAATACTAATACAGAAGTTTTCTGAGGGTTAGGCTTAGGACTCAAACAGCTTCCTTCGTGGTACAATTTTGGTGTTGGTGTATGACAAATCGCCGACTAGGGACACTACACTGACATTGCCCACAACACCGACAATGTCCACTTCGCCAACAAGTGTGCAAGAGACGCTAAGCCAAACGTGACCGACCATATTTCCCTTTGACACCTTTATTTTCAACTCAACGAAAAAGTGTATAAAACGTTTTTGTACAGCTCATCAAGGCACATTTTTTTTGTATTTAAGATTTTTCGCTATGGGGCTCATTTCCGAAACAGTTGTACAGTTTTTTTACGAGTTTGTCAGTTTTTGAGAAATTTTAAATTGAAAAGTTAAACTGTTGTAATGGAACCGAATTTGCCCGCTAAAATTCGATTTAAATATTCCCTAAGCCGTTCTTGCCGCCAATTCAAGATTGAGTTTTGTTTCGTTTCAGTGGAACACGTGTTTTTTTCTTCTTTGCTCTACGTTGAAATGGGCCATAATTTATTACCATAAAAGTGTCAATTATAAAGCTATACAAGGGAACTTAATGATCCCTATCGACCCAACGTCTCTAACAATGTTCGTCTAAGATTTGCTTAAAAGGGAGAAATTTTGGCTGAGGTATTTGTGCTTTTGTTGAGGGTAAAAGTAATTTTTACGTTTCGAATAGTGAGTGCAGCTTCGACAATTACAAAGGTGATGTACTCTTTTTTTATCTATATGTCTATTGCATCCATCTAGTAATGATATGATCGTGTTAATTATTTGCCAATTTAACGGTATTCTCGTATAGCATGATTATTGCCATTTATAACCCATTCTAAATACAAATTGCCGTTTTTGAATTATACTGGTCATACTTTGACTTAAATGAATAGAGATTCTACGTAAATATGTTGTTTTCCAATTTACAGTACTCCTTTGTTCCAAGCGCTGGTTTTGCCCGCCAACCCGCAATTTAAATTACTGACCGATTTACGTATTTTTATTTATCTTTAGATACAGTATCTTCCCTTAGTTATGATATTCAATACAAGGATGCAAAACTACATTTTAATTTATAATTGAATTTACTGCAGCACATTTCCCTTTTTTTTGCATGAATATGTTACTGTTTATTTACAGGGTGCTTCGTCTGCGGGCGTCTGCTAAAAGCGTACGGCGTGTTCCCGTTGTGCCCTTTGTTTTTTATGTATCCTTATCCTTCCTGTGTGAAATGCTCTTCTGAGAGGCCAACTCCTATCGTTTTCATACAATACTGACATATCATGACCAGAGCAACTAAAGACTACTCGGTGTGGGATTTGGACTGGCCATCCAATATCCGAACCTATTATGTGAATTTATTGTAATGTTTATGATTGTTTTTTTGTGTTATGTGTGTGTGAAATATTGATTCTTTAGGAATACCAGTGGAGCCTGAGATTTGACATTATATAAGTTTACTTAACAACCATCATAATATGCATTCATGCCATTACAGATAACTAATTTTGCTATAAAGTTCAATATTAATTTGTTGGATGGTTTTTTTCTCAGCTCTTTTTTTTCCCCAGCCTATTCTTATATTTGTACTCGGTGAACTACCATTTTCTAAATCTAATCGTGCAATGCGAATTATTTTGATTAAATCTCCATTTTTAAAGCATGTACTCGTTTTATTTGTATTCCTTACTTGATTCTCACTCAAGCAACGTACATATCTTGTAGCGACTCTTAAAAACACAACGTAGTAAATGGTCCTATTATTTTGTTATTCAGGTTAGGTAGCTTTGTCTAGACTCTAGACGATCATGTGCCATGGGGTTCAGTTAGTTTGGGAGGGAAAGTTTTGAATTAAATCTTGAGTTGCGCAGTCTCTCGGGGCTGGCCTGGGTAAGTCACATTATTTATTTTATAATTTTTTTTAATTTGCACTTTCCCGAGAAAGTAAGCCCCATGGCGAAAAATGTGAAATACAAAAAAAGATGTCTTGATGAGCTCTACAAAAAAGTCATACTCTTTTTGCATCAGGTTCAAAATACAGGCAATAAATGTTTAGACAAGTTCTCTAAAATCGATTGCAACTTCCTTCATTTCCAGAGAAACAGAAAACTGCCAAAATTCGGAAACATTCAAACGAAATTACTCTTTCGAATTATGACAGAACAAAATACCGCCTGTTTGATTTTTATTTCCACACACTTAATTGACATGTAAAATTAATAAACAAAAAATTCTGTTAAACTGTTCACATTCTTTTCAATATAATCTGTTACTTTAGAACAGGAGTCTCCACACTACGACCCCCCGCGGACCAAGACCGCCCCCCAGCATTACCAGTCTGACCCAATGTACTGTACTGTACATTTATCAATATTATTTAAGTGGGTTGAAGGAATACATAAAACAAGTTAAAAAGTAATTATGCAAACGTAAATGACGAGAGCGTATTTTGCTCCTAATAATACATATTAATGCTAGGGCACGGAAAAAATACTGGTAGGAATGAGAGGCTTGCCTTATTCAATTCAAATGAAATTTTATTTAAATGCTTTCGTAAATAAGAAAGTTGGCATTGCGCATGTGCAAAACAATATTTTGAAAACGTCAAGTTTTCCTTATATTGGTAGTGTTTACATCATTGAAATAAAAGACTGTTTACAAAATATAAAGTTTCATTTAAATATCTTCATAAATAAAAAAGTTAGCAATGCACATGTGTTAAAACAAATTTTTAGCACTGTGCATGCACAAAACCAAAAATATTGGTACGCACTGGATCCAAGATCGTTTCAACTGACCGTCATATTGAACAAATCGGTTCAGTCGTGTAGAAGTATTAGTACGTGTGACGGACGGACGGCAAAGTTCAGCCAATAGTGATTTTTCACTTTGCTAAAAATACGCTAATAATTAGAGTTTATAAAGATACAGACAAAAGATGGCACTAGCAATACAGATATAACTTCGCATCATTAAACTGCTAACAAGATCTGGAGGAATTATTGCATTGCAGGTAATCCAAGAATACGGCCGAAAATATGGTAAGTAGATATGTTCTGGCCCTAGGAAAATTGAGGAGCAATTCATGTGGCTATAATGAGTGAAAAAGTGCACTTTTTATTTTTTGAAAGTGAAAGTGCACTAAAAATAAGCCTTCTAAAAGCTTAGGCTCAATGCTCACATTCAGTTCGGTGATAGGAGAAGTTGACTAGCGAGCCGTTAGGCGAGCCTGTCATCTCTTAGAGCCAGTAAAAACAATTACCTGGCGTATAATGTACAATATTTTATTTGTTACTCATTTGTAAACAATAGTAAACGTAAATAATTAGTTCTTAAATTAATCTTGAAGAAATGTCTAAAATATCATGTTATCCATGTAACAGAGACTTCGCATTAATTCTGGCCAATGAAATTACTAGATTACCAACTTGTAAAATTTTTACAGGTCAGCTGTCAGTTTTACAAGTCAGTAGCGTTTAAACATGACGTTTACCCGTTTGTGTTTTGTCTTGTTAATCAACGTTTACAACTTTACAAATACAATTTTTTTACAATTCAAAAAAATTTAAGATGGCGGTGGCGCACTCAATAACCATGTGTCAAAAAATTTTGTTTTTACCTCAAAAGTCAAAATATGTGAAATAATTTCAAATGGAAGCCGGGAAGCGTATCTCCCAAATGGTTTGAACCTGAGAGCTTTGGTTCCTCTTTAATGGCGACTTTGTATATACCATGGTAGAAGTCTATTATTGCCTATGTACTTACTGTATATACTAATAATCCAAGGCGCTTTCTTTCGGCTACTTTGCGATCATGATTCGTAGGATCACGTTTTACGAAAGAACGCGCGAATTTAAATCAAAGTATGGTTAAGTTTAGTAGTACAAATTTGCATTCGAATTACGTATTTTTTGTTTGGATTATGAAAATAACTTAAAGGCAAGTAGTTGCGTGATATTGTGCTCCTCTTCAGTTACAAATATTGACTCACCTAACATTTGAGCAAAAATATCCTTGCATTTATAGGTTAGGAATTCGTGATCCTAAAACTTTTATGTTCAGTTTGCTCACAATTTTAGCAATCATGATTATAAGATCAAACTTCGAAAGAACGTGATTTGACAATCCAAACGTGTTTGGATCATTGAAAGAAAGCGCCTCCAGTAATGCCATTAGTAGGGTAAGGTAGCCATAATCGTACCGGTGCCTAAATCGTACCACGTTCGTTTTTCAATAAAGGCGCGACTTTTATCGCCATCTAGTATAGTATTCACCAGGTCAATCAAACATTAGTCAGTTATAGCAGTATCATAGTTACAGGTGTAACCGCATTTACGCGCCAAACAGTGTTAAAAGAAAGTGATCATTTTCATACAAGATTTTGCGGCTTTTTGTAAGGGCGTGTTGCTAGGTAAGTGGTGTAGTGAAGTATATGTTGTATTAGTTCTTTAGAGCAAAATGTTTGGAAATGTTTGTATATTTCAAAATTTAGTAACGATCCTCAGATTAGGTTAAATTAATTTTTTACTGATTATGCATCAAGTTGCCTAAATCCTACCACACGCTAGTCTCCAAAATCGTACCAGTACGATTTGGGAAACTAATTGTTTTCGCGCCACATTTATAAAAACAGTCTAGGCACATTTTTGAAAAATAGGTAGGTACACAATTTACATTGGGTTCATTTGCAGAAAAAAATGCCGAAGAGAGAATATGGAAAGTGGTCTTCCGAAACTATGAAACGGGCATTGAGTGAATATGAAAAGAATGATATAGGTTTTAATGAATGTTGTCGAAAATATGAAATTCCAAAACCGACATTTAGGAGGCACCTATTGGGACAGGTCAAGAGAGGAAATGATACCACGCATCAGGCCAAAAGACGTGTTAATGGACGTGAACTGGCCTTACCAGAAGAAGTCGAACGCCAATTGGTGGAGCACATTTTGAAATTTGAAGAATTGCTTTTTGGACTAACAATTAATGACGTCCGTAAGCTTGCGTATGACATTTTGGCAGCGAATCCGCATATTCCGAACCCCTTTAACAAGGAAACTAAAATGGCATAGTTCATATACCATTTTCTCATAAGAAATTAAAAGTACGATTTGGGAAACCGCAGGTACGATTTGAGCAACTGGTTCCTTAAATCGTACCACTTGCACGCTCTTAGGAAAATTGAAATTGTGCAGTAAACATAGAAGTTTCGTGCCTACAAAAATTACTGTTTGAAGCTAAAACAGTATTTTATAATTTGCAACAAACGGATTCACACTTTATCACATAACTGTAGCAAAAATAAATAAAAACTGGAAAGCGGTACGATTTTGGCAACCTTACCCTAAGTTGTGTATAGTGTTTAAATTAACAATAAAAAACCAATTATAATAATAATAATAATAATAATAATTTGCAACAAACGGATTCACACTTTATCACATAACTGTAGCAAAAATAAATAAAAACTGGAAAGCGGTACGATTTTGGCAACCTTACCCTAAGTTGTGTATAGTGTTTAAATTAACAATAAAAAACCAATTATAATAATAATAATAATAATAATAATAATTTATTAGCGCTAATAACATAATTGTTTTACGCAAGTCGGTTACTATATACAGTATATAAAGACTATAACTTACACATTTAAAGACAGTTAAACCTATAATGTAGAAAGTCGTTTATATTGTAAAATGCCTGGCTTATTAGGTGCTTCTTTAAACATTTACTAAATGAATTTGTGCAGTCTAGTTCTTTCATGTGTTGGGGCAGAGCGTTGTATAATTTAATACCAATATGATTTACACCAGTCCTTGTTTTATTTAATCTTAAAGCAGGAATCACTATGCTATTTTTTTGTCTAGTGGAATGGCAATGCAGCTGGTTATTTTTATTTGTTGTATATAGACTCAAGTTGTTACGAACATAGAGTATGCACTGATATATATAAATTGACGGTAATGTGAGGATGTTTAGGTTGATAAATGCGCTTTTGCAATCTTCTCGATATTTTAATCCTGCAATTACACGCACTACCCGCCTCTGAATTCTAAATACATCATTAAAGGTGGCAGAATGTCCCCAACATATCGTATTATAGGAAAGTACACTATGTATTTTGCCAAAATAAGCAGCCATGAGTACCTTTTTCGATACGGTACACTGCATAGCATGCATATATTAAAGAAAGATCTGCTGTTGTGTCCCTGACCTACACGCCCAAATTAATAATAGACAAACCAAACCATGTTTTCATTTAAAGATCAAACCCCCAAATCAAGAAAAATCAGCGATACTAACCGTGAAGCTCATATATCGACGTTGCTTCTTTTTATCTTTTTCAAGTTTCTGCTGTTTATCTGATAGCACAATACCTTTATACATATCTTGTATATCTTGCAATCGATTTGCGTAAACATTCTCCCTCTCAGGCCACCCTCCACTCACTAAAAACAAACAATTTGAGTAAGTACCTACAGGTAATAAGAACACTAACCAGCTGCTTGATCGGGAATTCCTACATCTCTAGAGCTCCAGCGACACAAAAGGCAAAGCAAATAAAAAACCTTGCGAGGTGGAGCTTTCGGATCTTCGCCATTTTTAGGCCCCATATTTGCCGCTCTAGTTGTCAGTTGCTGATGACAGCTTGGACAATCGAAACAATTGCCACATCTATTTTTCTTTAAACGTGCCTCGGAAGATGGTAAATTTTCGGCACATTTTCCACAGTAATGGGAATCCGCCTTAAAAACCATACAAAGGGATTATGTTGTTAATGAAGATATGGGCCTACCTCATGACACACGCAAAAAGAACATCTTATTTCTAAACAATGTCTGCAAAAATATAGATTAGAGATAGGTCTTAAAATGCCACATGTGCAAGCATATTTTACAACATCGGGTTGTACGATGTAAGACATTTTTCAAAGTAGGGTCTTCTACATTGAAAACCCCAAAATAGAGAGCAATGACACCAGTCGGTGGAACGCAATGAATAATTTTTATTCATTGGTGGAAAGATCTAAGGTTGAAAGACACTGCAGAGGAAATCATTCTGTGGAGGGAATGACAACAAAGAGGCGAAAGTTACGACGTGCATGTGCAAAAAGGACGTTATCAGTTGTATACTTTGACACTGCCACTGACAGTCACTACAATATATACAGGATGTCTCAGAAAAAGGTTGCATGAGTACATTGTTGTTTATTCGTTAATCAATAAATAAACATAAAACATCGTTCACCAAACGAAGCGCTTCATGAGTGCTACCATGGTGCTACCTTAAACCTTCTTGATGTCGTACCGCTTATATAAGTACTTGTAATTGTACTGCATTTTGCTTGTGTAGTCGTTGATGGTGTAGTGTATACACATCAAAACAAAAAGTCAAAAACCCAAAACAACACTGGAAAAAAACATTTAGAAATACTTATTGGAACCTTTTGGATTGGAAATCATAAAGTCAAAAACGAATTACATCAAAATGCATCTTTCCCTAGGCATATAAACAATGAATGACACATTTGAAAATATTAGTTTTGAATTTGAGAAGGATTTGATTCCTACCTCCAAGTCATCTGGTGAGTTGAAACAGCATGTCTTCTGTGATTTGTGATGTCATCTCATTTTGAGTAGTGTACTGTCTGCTTGAAAGTCGATTCACATTTTGCGGAACGTCAATGTCACGTCCCCAACCGGCAACGCCACATTAAAATATGTATTATAGATTTCTTATGATGACATTCACATAGAGACGTAACGGAATGCACCATCAACGTCACGAACCGTCAAGATAAGTTTAAATACAATATTTTGATGTGACGTTGCCGGTCAGTGACGTGATGTTGACGTTCACTAAAATGCGAATCGACCTTTAAATTTGCACTTATTGTTTTTACTTTAGGTACTACTGGCCCATGTAACATACTCCAAAAGGAAAATGATAAACAAGCAAAAATCTCCTCACATCATCTGCTTGTTAATCCTAAGCAAAGAGGAAATCCGATATTAAAAGCAATAAGAAATGTCCCTTGGGAGTTTGAAGAAATAGTCCCTGATTATCAAATGGGTACAGGGGTGTGTGCCTTATTTTTATCGCTAAGGTATCACAATCTACATCCCGATTACATTCACAATCGGTTGAAGTTGCTGGGAAAAAATTATGAACTACGTGTTTTACTTGTGCAGGTTGTATTAAACCAATGTTTACCATTGCCAGTGCCCATAACATTTTCTTTTAGATTGATGTAAAAGATCCACATCACCTCTTAAAAAATTTAACTCGTATTTGCATCTTGGCGGATATGACTTTAATATTAGCTTGGAGTCCAGAAGAAGCTGGTAGGATAATTGAAACTTATAAAATCTATGAAAATAAGCCAGCAGATACAATAATGACGAGAAGTGAAACATCACCCAATTTACAAGTAAGTTCTTATAATCAATTCAAATTGTACAAATAATTGTGCGTTTTAGTTAGTACAATTATTAAGTTCCGTAAAACCAATTAATAAAACGGATGCTATGACTTTATTGGTGCGTTTCAAAACTCTAAAGGGTATTATATCCGCATCTGAATATCAACTCTCGGAATGTCCAGGTATTGGACTTCGAAAAGCTCGGAAACTGTATTCTATATTGCATGAAAATTTTTGTAAATAATTGTTATATTTTAAATTGCATGTTAGTTGTATAAGATTTGTGTTTTCGGTATTATTACTATTGTTACTTATTATTGCTGGCAATCTACACCATCACATTTGAAACATTTTATAGTGTTTTTTATTAAAATTAAAACCAAGTTGTCTATTTTTGTTTCATCCTACTTGTGTCATACAACTTACACCTTTTAACTTTTTTGATACCACTAACAATTACGGATACCTTTCCTATATAGAAAGGTCGAACATGGGACAATATGTACCTCTTTTTAATTTAAGGCTGAAGTGTTGTTGAAAAATGTTCTTTGATTTAAGTTGTCGTGTAAGGATAAAATTGTTTGTTTTTTTCTATGGGCTTCGCTCACTAAGAACAACTCTCGCAGCACCCATAGAGATGCTGCAAAAAGAACACTAATGTTTGTAACGGAGTAATAATAATCCAAAAGAGTAAAAACAACGTCTGAAAAAAGCAACAATTAAAACTAACGATAAAGGAAAGGAAACTAAAAAAAGCAGAGACTTGTTACAACTAGACCGCACATAGCTCAAGTTGTATGTTGTCAACATGGTAGGCCACCCACCGAACTCGTAAAGGCAAGAACTTTCGCGCTCCAATCTTCACTATTTGTTTTTGCTGGGATTATATCGCTGAACTGGGCTAGTTTTTCAGTATTTTTTAAAATTTCTTTGCTGAATCGAAAACGCACACTTTCTAGACACATAATGTTCTCAGAAAAGGTTATAAACGGTAATAATGAAATAAATGTAATCTAGTGTAAATTTTCGTATAAGGTATTTTTTTACCGGATAGTTTACATCTAGGTATAGTTATGTATAATGAAATGGAAAAAGCAGAAAAGCACAAGAATATTTTGAGAAACAATCTTTGCGATAGTGTAACAGAGATATGAATTTGTTTAGTCGGCGTCTTTGTTGTACGTCGCGCAGAAACCTCCACGGATGTAATTTGTTTTTGGCACTTCAAGATCATGATCATATCATCATCATATATATCATAATCATGTCCTGCAGGCTGCAGTGAATGAATTTAATACTGAAGGTATTCTTTACAATACGTATTCATTACGAAAATAAGAAAATAAACGAAGTAGATGTGGATGTGAGAATTAGACATTTATACAACAAATGAGTATTGTTTAAAAGCCAATAAACATTTTTATGTCGATAAGCACATTTCATTTTACCATTGAATAAAATTTTAATGCAATGATTCTAGTTATTTCGACTGGTTATATGTAGGATCTTGCTAAACTGGCTCGCGCTTTGCCATTACGAGTATGATGTGTTGCCTAAACATGTTGGCATCACTCTTTTATACGCGAGTGGCATTGTATGCGCGGTCTAGGTATAACAAGTC